CTGTCCTCCTCTTGCCACCCCATAAATATTTTTCTAGATCCGCCCCTGAATACACTTATAAAAATGTCTATTATCCATTATTTTCGTTTATGTATTCATCTTCAGTCAGTTTAATAGATTAATTCTCACCTTGCCCCATACCTGTCGAGCTTTGGGTTTGAGAAGGGGGAGTGGGTGGTGGGAAGGAAATAGACACGTAAGTCTGGGTTGGAAAGATGACCAGTAGACGAAAGTAAGAACGGGGGAGCAATACGGGATATTTACGGCACCTTCGTTCGTAAATAGAAATGGTAAATTGACTGAACTTATAGCGCTTTCCCAGTCATTTTGACCACTCGAAGTGGTGATTTCCAGCACCGTTTGTTCAGACCGGGATGATATGAAATGTATTTTGCGTTNCAGTATTGCAGCAAAGTGATTCACACTTACAAAGTTAAGTGGGAACCCACACACACAGACTCCCTCATGGTCATGCACTGGATTATGGATTACAGTCCCCCCTCACTTTTGACAATGATGCAAGAGAACGTGCTGACTTTAATCTGTTGTATTTCCAAGCAGATTAGAGGCATAGCAGTTCAACAATAAGTGTATGAAACCTAAAAATATTCACATGTGACTTCTATGTGCTTTTTGATCTATGGGAGGAAATATAACTGTTATTTGCCCAGATTAAAGTCAAACATTAAGGAGTGAACATTTTGATTTTACTGGACTAATGTGAGAAAAGCAGAACGTCCAAATGAGAGCCTGAAGCAAAAAGATGGTTTACACTGGATGGTATCTTTTGTGCTGAGGTAACTGTCATCAGAATAACATTAACTGTAGATATCCATCAACTTTCCACTTTTTGCTGTGGATCTACTATGGGCGGAGCTAATGCTAATCTGTTGACCAACCAATAGAGAAATGTAATCTTTGAAAGTTATGTAGTAAAGGAGACAATCTGGATGACAATCTCATGCTTTTCTCCAATGAACTCACAAGAACCCTACAATTTTGGCCCTCCATATCACCCAGTGCATCGGTGAGATGAACCAACTGAGCTAGCTTTATGATCAGCTGTACAGTTAAGGGCTTTTTCAGTACTTCAGTCTAGAAGTACGTCGCTATTATTTGGTTATATTTTTCAGTTTATGTTGGTTCTACCAGACACCCTTAGACTCAGGTGATTAGACAAAAGTTGTTGAGTACGATTTGCACCATGAGGAGGAGTAAGTGTCTCCTATAGGCAGCATCCGACTCTTTAATAATGTTCCAGGCATCACTTGGAATCAGCATGAGGAATTAGTTGAGAGCGTGTGTCTTCTGCCAGAAAGAAAAGATGGCTCCTTTAGAGTCTGAAGGCTGTCTGGTCAGAACACTCTGGTGACAGATTGATGGGAACTGGATGGTGTGTTTCTAGGCCACAGAGACCATTCTAGTGATTGATCCTCAGATGTCTTTGGCCTATGCCAACCTAGAGATTTCATCTTAGAGCTCCAGTTTCCTCAGGTTGCTTCCATTGTTGTCACAGGAAACATAAATCTCTGCTGTAAAATTCACAGCTTTTGTCCTGAGTGAAACCTTGTCCGCAAGCATGGATGAAACTGTTTGAGTTGTTCTGGCTCTTGCTGAACTTTTTTGGTGTTCACACTCACACACACACACAGTTGCGTGGCTATCTTTGTGGGGACTTTCCATTGACTTCCATTCATTTCTACCGCCTAAACTTTACCATTGGAGAGCCTAATTTGAGCAGGACTGCAACAGAACAGGGTGCAGGGAGAAACGGTGCCGCTGATTCTCAGGTACCATCATGACAAAACTCAATTCACAACTTTGTCCTAAATTTGACCCCTGACCCAAAACCAGCATTTCCCCTCGCGGGGACCAGGCTTCGGGCCCCACAAGGAGCAGTGGGTCCCACAATGTAGTATGTGTCAGGAAAATCGTCCCCACAAGGTATTACAAACGCACACACACGCACACACACATACACACATATGTGGAAAATACTAATTTGAAAAAATAATTGAAAATACTAAATCTCTGAAAACATAATGTGATAAAAGTATGGCAAAATATTTGGAAAAAATGTGAAAAATAATTTGAAAATATTAAAGCTGGAAAAATAGCAAACGGCACAAATGTAGGTTCAACTATAGCATTGCACACTGCATTTGCACCTTTCCAGTTTTTAATTGCATTTTTCTTAAACCTCAATTCTTTGGAAACATCTCTCCATAAGGATGGCACAAGCAGTTCGGATGATTATGGAGCTGCTTTTTTTTTTCACAGATCAATTTGGAAAGTTTAGCAAATAAAAATCATTATTTAAAAACTGATTGTTGTGTTTGCTCAGGTTATGTTGAAGATATAAAATTGTGAAGTGTGAGAAAAAGAAAAGTAAAAAACAGAATGATTACATAAAGGGACAAGTTTGTTTTTTTTCCCACAGCAATGTTAAGGGAAGCACCTAGCAAAAGTAAAAGTGGAGAGCTTAATTTGAGCAGGACTGCAACAGAACAGGGTGCAGGGAGAAACGGTGCCGCTGATTCTCAGGTACCATCATGACAAGCACAGGTTGGGGATTAGAGAGTAATTTCAGGGACGCCGTGTCCTCGGAGAAGTGAGCGTTGTGTGGGTGGAGGGGGTTTTATTAACATTCAGGTGGAAAACAAATTTCTGACTGACACTTTTTTTTCCACCCAGAATGTCATTTATATCAGTTCTCCTTCTGCATCTAAATTAGCTGCAAAAAAAGAAGAAGAAAAACCTACTTAAATATTACCGATTCTAGGTCATTTATGGGGTTGTGTTAAATATTCTTGTTTAACTGAGAACCGAGTCTGATCAAACAGAGTGTCAAAAAGGAATTAGCTTCTTTCAAGTCAAGTCTAATAGAGTTTTTTTTTTTTTTTGCTGTTTGCAACTGTGTGCAATAACATAATTGCAACTCCTGAGATTTGCAACAGACGGCTAAAGTGGGAAGGATGGATGTAAGGAAGCCTGGATGTATTTAATCCAGAGCCACCGGGGGGGCTCAGAAAGAGCTTCACTGCAGCTCAGACTGTCCCAGATAAGGCTTGGTGCTATGGACGCCTGATCGTTACAGGAAGCTTCAAGTCATTGGTGAAAACGGAGCTGACGGAAAGCCGCTCCGGCTACCAGAAAGAAACGTTTCAGCACAGCTATCGCAGCTAGCTAAGCGGTCAAGATAGCTAACAGAAAACAGTCCGACTTGATTGCTGATTAGAAACGTGTTGCAGGTGTGAGGGGAGAGAGAGACAGAAAGGGAAAGAGAAAATGGCGCAGGTGCTATCGGAGAATACACAACCTGGGTATCTAGGAAAATGAATCTAACACCAACAAATAATTAACAAATAACATAATAAAACTACAGGACTGAACTAATGTAAAACATAAACAAAGATAATCTAATCAAAGAAGGAGACTAAGGAATACAGAAAAATGGAACTAGGATGAAATAATGAAAACACCAAAACAACCCAGGAGCCTGACAAGACTGGCTTATGGTTTTGTGGAGAGTTACACATTATCTAGCTTGACTTGTTTAAACTCTGGCATCAATAACAATCGACTCTGATGTTCTTTGCTTATTAAGAGCATCAGATGGATTCAGTCTGCAAAACTAAATGCTGTTTATTTTTTCCTTCAAAGTGGCATTAGCTCATTAAAGGCAGACATAGGCATGCAGATAAACTAACAGTCGCCCATATAACCTTATTAGCACATTTGATTATATCCCGTAACGTTGTCCATTCTCTCCAGAGGCTCATTATGCGCGCTTAGTGTGCAATTAGCATTCCCAGAACTGACTGAGGCTTAACAAGGCTAAACCAGACTGCCGATCGTCACACTGCTGGAGATCCAGGATGAGGCAATGGAAGGCTGTTGGAGTTCGAAACCTTGTTTACAATGGTGGAGATCCGAGTTTTATAATTATAATAAATGTTACTGTCCATAAACAGGAACGTTTGCACCTTTAATCCAGAACCAACTCTGTCCAGTAAGTTTTAGTATGGATTGTTTGTATAAATGTCCTTTAAACTTTAAATTGAAGAAAGTGTTTGTTAATGGGAAATAAGAACAACTAAAATGGTTATTTAGTGTTCTTGTAATTTTGTTGTCAATGCTGTTACTTTTTGACGTTGTGAACTCTGTAGGACTTTGGATGTAGCTCTTGGATAAACTGACGTTTATCTAAGAAGTTTGCAGTCTGACTTTGAGAGACCTTTCCATGAAGATCCAATTCTGGGAAGATTGCTCGTCTCTTTTCACTCATGAAAAGACTGGAGGCAAAACTAAAATTCAACTGATTTTCACATTACACTGAAAATAAAAACTCAAGGAAGAAGAGTTGTTTTAAGATGACAGAAGGTCACTTTGCTCTTGATCCCTTTTGGCCAGCTGTTAGCTTCGGCCTCCTGGACCAACTAATACGTATTTAGATTAGTTGGGTCATGCTAACCAAAAATAGTCTGAATCAGTCTGTAATTGATTTTTGTATGGTAAGTTAAATGCCCACATGATAAGAATGTTATGGGCTGCCGTTTGTGAAGTTACACAGCCAAAAATTAGCAGCAATAATTTGGATTATTTATCCTGTCAGGAAGGAAAAAATTGGGGTTAATTCTTCAGTCCTACTTTCATCATGTTATTCATTCATTTATAAATTTCACAATTTCAAACTATTTAATTAGCTAGCTAAATATGTAGCGATGCAGCATTAAAGGTGACGTAGGTTGCATGGTTTTGATGAGAATGTTTAAAGGATTGAGATTTGACTCTGACTTAGAAAAAAAAGTCACTGTGGACATTTCTGTTTAAAGGTCCAGTTGAAAAGGAAATTATGATTTCCCTCCAGGCTTCTCTTAGGAACACATTTGTGCTATATGAACACTTGGTTCATTGGAGATGAGTTGTTGTCTTCTAAATGAGGTGAAAGCTAAGGGTAAAAAACAAATGTGCATTTTGATGAAGTGTTAAAATCACAATGCCATCCCATCTAGTGGCCTCGCATGATAACTACAGTGGATTTAAGGTGTCTTGGCAATGCCGTCTAAATGTATAACTTTTCTCCAGTCAACAGCACTCGAGTAAACATAGCCTTAATTTCCACTGTATAGAAACCGACAATATTGTAACCCGTTTAAGGAATTCGGCATGAGGGTGTGAAGTATTCCCCTTTCTGCCTGGTCAGCAACATATAATCCCTCGAGTTCCAAGTGAAGGCATAATTTACTTTTCTGAGGAAAGGGGATGAGTTTACAGTTTGCATGATTGTTGATGGAATTAGAGCCATTACTCTCCGGAGAAAGTAAAAAGTGAGTTACAGCCGAGCACAGACTTCTTGGATCCATCTTCACCGGCTGGAACAATTTACTCTCTCCGGCTCGAATATATGGACCCGCTGTCAGACATCCAGCAAATATGTATCAGCATGTCGCAACCTCCGTGCCACGCATCAACAACATTCTACAGCAAGAAAGCAATCCGTTCCTGTCTGTCTTCTTGTTTTGAACCTAAAGTGATTTCTCTGCTTCTTTAGGCCCTCAGTTCTGCTTCCCAAATCCAAGTGTTCCACCCAGAATGGATTTCTATGGATCTTAGTGCTAAGATATAAAGCATATCCCTTCATTCCTTCTGGCTCTGGTGTCTCTCAATATAGGAAATCAGCGGCTTGTGCTCTGAGGATAGATTTTTAAAATGTATTGAGTTCACATTTCAGCAAACCGCCGATCGTTGCGATCACCAAGGCTGAAAAACGATGAGAAACACCTCAAACGTTTCATCTTTTAGATGAGGAAAAATGCATCAGAACAAGTCTGAACATCTCCACATATCTTATTGCTTTCAGTCAGTCCCTAAGTAGAAAAGTTTTCAGTTCTCTGTATGAACCCCGCTACCCCTACCGCGCTCTTTGTTCATTCACTGAACACACACAGCATTAATTAGACGGAGGCCCAGTGTGCTCCCCAGTCCCAGGGCTCAGTCTTCATCATGCGGCTTCTTTGTGTGACTGTGAACATAAATTTCATCTCCTGAGATTGTTTTATTTTAATATGGCCTGAACTGAACTGAGCTACATATGTCAGAGCAGTGATGTGAACCTCTGAAACATTAAACCATTCAGATCTAAGGTAGACATGGGGAAATGAGGAGTTTCTTCATTCTGTCATGGCTCAGAATGGACATGAAACTGGAGTTGAAGATTTCATATAAAGGGGAACTTATACAAAATTCACTTTCTATGTGCTTTTGTATTTACATTTAGGTCTCTAGTACTTACAGAAACAGTCCAGTCTCTTAAAGGGGCAGTATTATCTGTTTTTCAGGCAGATAGCATAATTTTATAGCACAATCAAGTAACTATGTTAACTTCCATTGTCAAAAAATACTCTATCAAATATGACTTAAAAGAAATTTTATTTTAGAATTTAGTGTCTATTTAAAAACTTCTGCTCTTCCTGAAACTCCGCCTTCTGGAAGTCATCACAACATGCCTCCTCTATTAATCCTTTAACAATCGGTTTACCAGAAGTAACTGTTATTATGAGCTCAGCAGATGTCCAGTTCCACCAGGTGTTTGGTAATTGTTGTTGGCTAGTCTGAAGGAGCTGAGTGGAGGAACCAAAGGGGGCAGGCTGCTCTGTGAGGCGAAAGCTTGGAATTTGCAGCTCTGAGGAGGAGCAGCAGCTCGAAGGCGGGGCTAGGTCCACCCAGGTGTTTTGCACAGCTGAATGGTTGCCATGGAGATGAAAGATTTCTCAAACATGCATGAAACAATCAAGGCAAAACTCCTGGCATGTTTTTGATGAGGGAAAAACCTAACATGATGTGAAGCTGGCCCTTTGTGCCATTTTCTGGGAATAAGTGAATGTATTTTTGTGTCCGTTTCAAAAACCTCCTGATTAAGACATCACAATTGACAGGTACAGCCCCCCACCTAGCAACCCAAACAGAGCTAGTCAGCTGGTTTTACCACTGTAAGTGCTGCACAAGTGCTGTTGGAAAACCACAAAAGAAAAGAATTTTGCTAACGCCAACCGATAGCAAGTAAAGTAGCATTGCGCCTTTAGGTCAGAGCTTCTCAAGCCATACTTTCTTTTGAATATTGCAGAAAATTTGTCTGCCAATAATTCCACACAAACAAAACTCATGAACACTGAAACAGGTGACTGTCCTCTTTATTTCTGTTGAGGACAAGTCAATAAATTACTCGTAAAATAAAAAACTAATAATTCAAAGTAGCTTCCTCATCTTGTACATTTTAGACATTTACAGTGAAAGACGAATACAGGACTTTGTGTCAGTTCACACCTCTCTCTGGTTTCCGTTTACAGCCTGAAGTGACGGATACTTACCACCAATCTGAGCTGGGATCTGCTCAGGCATAACTCATGGCTTGCCGACAGCCATGGCCTTCCATTGTTCTCAGAACCAATTAAAAGCAGCTTGCAGAGAGAAAGGCTGCCTCATCTGATATCATCCGTCATGGTAAACATTACCTGCGCTGTACCACTGAACGCCACTGTATCTGAGCCGGGGAACTGATGACTGCGTCTCCAGAAGACGTTTTGTTCCCACCGCCGCATACAACGGGACAAAAAGGAAGAATAAACAGCATTCAACAGCCGCCAATTAGCCAGATTTGACGTGTTTGTTGGGGTTTTTGATGACAACGTTGATGGATTAAACGTGGCGCATTAGTGCGGCGGTGCGTCTCCGTTGGTGTTTAATGGGTTGTAAAAGCAGAGTGGAGATCTATCTCTTCACACCAGAACCAGAGCAGAATATTAATAACTCTGTTAGAATCTGTGGCACATTCGCCTCCGCCTTCTCAAGCATGAATGATTTAGAAGTGAGGGAAAAATATATGCATGTAACCTTGTACAGTTCCAACTCGAGTTTGTCTCTCTACAGTCAGCGAGTGCTGCATTGAGATGCTGCAAATATATACAGAACACCTTCCAACCTGCTGTTTTAGCTTATGAACAATTTCTTCCAGAGAAAAGGGAAATGTTTCCTGAAGTTGAAGTTACCTCTGCATGTTACCCTCACAGTTCAGTTGACATTCATTCTGCTAATTAGACCAAACTGTGTTCACTCCAGTCATCACATCTCAGTAGCTGTGTTTTTGTTACAAATGTGCGCAAAACTTTGTCAATATTCTGCTAATATGGAAAAATCACTAAATAAGAAACACAATTAAACACAATTAAAATCACACGTGATTTGTGTCAATAAAAAACAATGCAGTTCTGTCATCCTCCTACTACTTTCTGTTATCTTCTTCATGGGTTTTGCCAGTGGCAACATCTGGTTGTTGAACATGTGACTCGTGTGACATGAAAGACGCGTTTCCATTGCAGCTTTGCAAAATAAACCATATGGTCACAAAAATAAATAAATTAAAAATAATAATAATAATAATATATATATATATATATATATATATATATATATATATATATATATATATATATATATATATATAAACACCTCATCGTAGCGCAAAAACTTTTCATCAAAAATATTTTTTTTTTAATTCAACTAATTTATTTTCAAAATTATATGATCAATGAAAAACCAGCTTTTATTGTTGTAAAGAGTGTCTTCATTCTGAGGCTTTACCTGCTGTAATATTCGCCATGTTATGTAAAATTTGAGAAAACGTAAAAAAAAAATAAAAAAAATAAAAAAATTGCGAATTAGGCGTGTTTCCATCTACCGGTATGAAGCAAATCAACCAGGCCATCTGAAGCTGACGCAATGCTTGGCTGTTAAAAAAGGATGATGTAGAATGTTTTCAGAGTTTCGTGCCTCTGGTGAAGTACAGACCCACCAGTGAATGAGAGCATCACACCCAGAGGCTCCACTAGACTTTTTCCATTTTCCGTCATTTTGACATAAGTTAAAATGACGGATATGATGTAGAAAAAAAACTACATCATAAACTATTTTTACCTGTTCTTTTATAAAATAGAAGCAATGATATATTAGAATGAATTTTATTTTCATTTGGTTTTATTAATATTCAACAAGCTGAACAGAGAATCTACATGGTGAATTCACACATCAGGCAGATGAATATGTGGAAGTTGCAGTTAAATTATGAACATGGCCATGAATTGTTCACCACTTTTCAATGTCAAACAAACATACAGACCTTTTCCCAAAATTTAGGATGTTTTTTTTTATTTTGCCATTTCATCAACCTTTTCTAATGCAGTACCTTCTAAATGTGCATTAATAAAAAAGTCACGGCTGTAGACTGCCACAGGAAATCCTTCCCTGCTTCCAGCAACAAAAGAAAACTCCATAGTGAGTTACAACAACATTTAATTTCCCTCTTGGATTAGTGACGTATTTTTGATTTGAGTGTAATTGAATACTCATCGTTTACTACTGGAGCAACAAGCAGATGCAGGATCTTGAATCACCATGAAGAGTCTGGAGCTCAGAGTCAGTGGAAGTCAAAGGAGGACTTGTTATCCTCCTCACCAAAGATGGAGCAGTCTGCTGGTTCTTAGCCTCTTTCTGCAGCGCTTTGATGCCTCTGAGGGGAAGTTAGGCCTTGTTTTAAGGATGCTGACATGTTATTTCAAAGGAATCAAGAGTTAGAAAACATCTAGCTGAGAAGTCCTACGAATCTTCCCTTCATGTTAATGCGGTGCCAAATTTTAAAAACGCAAATACAAAAAGTTCTGAATCATCAACGGGCTGAACCTCCTAAGTTCAGGTAGGTCAGACACAGAGTTTCATCTCATCTGCTGGAGTTCAAGTTCAACATGGCAGGAACCCGCTGAGAGGTTACTGTGACGTACATCTGAAAAGTCATTTCCATAGAGAAGAAATGGTGAGTCCCCAATGTCCACAAAGAAGGGTGTGTTGATGCATACCAGAAAAGTTAAGGAGTTATTTAATCTGAAGTACAGTATTAAAAAATTCTAAAATTAAATATTTGAATTGGGAACATTGAATTAAGTATAGAGACAACTTTCAGATCCCTCCCTGCCAGGACTGACCCTAATCAGGAATCTGGTGTCAGCGGCATTAATCATCCAACCACAGATCTCATTAGAGGAAAAAACCCATCAAGATGGACCTTCGCTGAGGAGGATCTTGTGTGGACAGCAGAGTTCCAGAACTTTAGAAATAAAGAGCTGCCTATTTGTGGGTCAGTATTTTGTGTATTCTGATTTTTTTGTGAGTAAAATTTTTCATTAGCTGACTTTTTCATAGTACACATGTAAAATATTTTAAAGAAAATGCAGCTTTGGAAGCTGAAATACCGACACACAATGTTACTTGACATACAATAGGCAGGCATTTGGGAAAAAGGCCAATCCAGGAGTGGCTTCATTGTACTCGGCGCTGTTTGGTTGTTTGGTTGTACCACTAAAGGCGGAGATAGACTATTGATGTTAGCTTCAGCATTAGCATTTAGCGGGAAGATAGTAGGTGTTAGCTTCTGCAGGAGCGCCAAGACAGTTTAAACGTATTAAAGCATAAGGTTTAATTTTGTAACATTAAAATTGGCAGTTTTAAGCTTTTTTAGGTAGCTTTGTGCCAAGCTAGCTAAAAATGCTAGAGTGGTGGATTTTAGTTACTTGCAGTCGACTATGGTCGAGAGCCCCAGTGAATACACTCCACTGTATTGCAATGAAGATTACACTAGGTCTGTCTGAATAAATTATTCAAGAATTGTTCTCTAGCATTGGCCTCCATAAGAAGTGCTGATTGTTAATGACCCAGCATTTGGAAAACAGCTATATTCATATAGCCCTCATTGCTAACATATATCTCAACTGAAAAGTTGCAAGCAATGTAGCTGTGTCAGAGCTAGTGAGAGAAACTCTGCTCCGTTTGTGTGTGGCAGTGAAACCCCGAGGTGACTGAGTGGAAGAATGCTTTAGTTTGCCACCTGACTGTGCTGAGACACACCATCTGTTACCATAATACATGTGCGCTGCGCGGAGCAGAGACGATACAGAACGTGTTTGCCCACATTTGAATATTACATATTCAGATAATGTGCTGCATGCAGCATCTGTGTAGGTGTGTGTGGAATGTGTGGCTTTAGGGAAATCGTGTCTTTTTTTCCCCCCGTTTCTGGGGAAGAAACACGGAGTAGTACAGAAGTTTCCACTGACCTTGCAGATTGGTAGAGGAGATGAAGGAGCAATGGTATTTAGGAACTCAACAATGCCTGAGGGGCAGTCATTTATGATGTGTGTGTATGTGTATGTGTGTGTGTGTGTGTGTGTCAGCTCACCCATCTGTTGTGTTCACTCTGGGGACCGTAGCACCAGACACTTCTGATTCTCCACACACACTCCTATAGAGGTGGAGGTGTAGGTGGAGGGGAGGAGGGTGCCGCTCTCAATAACAAAAGCACAGATGTGTTTATCAAAATCTGTGATAATTGAATATCTCTGAAGAAACTTGAGACAGTAAATACGATGCAAGAAAAAATGAACCCAGGAGCTCGTACAGTACTCAAAAACATCTCTGTTTATTTGTGCCAAGCAGATGTAGCGACGCCTCATCCTCTCCCAGGATTAATTTCTTCAATATTTAAGTTAATATAAACACTGGGAGAGAAGACAAGCAGCATGCTTCCCGACAAACAAGATGGCTGACTTGTTTGTTCAATTTAACAAGAAGCCAGAGGATTGTTTCTCTGGATTTTTGCACGACCCGAGGAGCAGGGCTCAGAACGCTCACAGGGCGCCTGCAGGGACCGCAAGGTGGTAAAGATAATTATCCCACAGTCAGACATCCCTCTGCACTAATAACAAGCCGGGTCTCACACTTCCTCCATGTGTCTGCATACCCAAACAAACTGCTGTCGTTATGCACTCTGCATTGGCCTCTCTGTCCCTTCGGGTTCAGACCAAACAACTTCTGAGTGACGTCCTTCACAGAGAAAGAATGTTTATTTCAGATTCAGACCTTTATTCACGTCCCGATAGGCAATTAACTTTACAGCAAAACAACAACACACCAACAATTAATGTTTAGCCATGGGGCGCACTCCAAAAATACAAAACCACACAAAGTATTTTTGGTTCAGTTTCTACTGCGAATATCTTAGTACACTTGAAATAAGATGAAATTAACATACAAGTAACATTTCAGCAAGAAATAGGGGCTTGTAAGTCAATAATTTACTGATGAAAACGTACCAGTAGCACTGGCAGATTATGGGTCTTGTTATAAGTGAAATAATCTTCCAATATTTAATCAATATTACAGAATTTTTAACTTAAAATAAGCTCCTATTTCTGGCTGAAAAGTTACTTCTACGTTAGTTTTGTACTAAGATATCTGCACTAGAAACTGAATCAAAAATATTTTGTGAGGTTTTGTGTTTTTGCAGTGTATATACTCCTGCTTCAACAAAATGTTTGCGTTTCTCTCATATTAGGTTGTAAGGAAGGAATATTCGAAAAGAAATGAGAAATGTTAGCTTCCAAGATGGTTTTCATAATGCGTATTACAAGTCAGATTTGATGATTACCTTATTCAAATAAGGTGAACACATTTAAATAAGGTATTCACTATATCACTGTATTCACTGTTCACCAGCTACAATATTAGATAAAGTTACCAACATTACTTTATCTAATAATTTCACATTTCTCATGTGCATCACTCGTTTCGGCATGCTTAGTGCTTGAAACTGAAAGGGAGGCTGACGACAAAACTTACAATGTGATTAACTGAAATTATAATTATCTGACCACTTGGAATCACTGTTAGAGAATGGAAATTTAATTCCCAGATGGTTGCTTAATCCTGTAATACATATTCTTCAGAAAACAGAGACATTGATATAAATTAAAGTAATACACCCGCTAATGACGCAGTAGAGCGATGCGTCTTCCA